GTTTTATCTTCTCAAATTTACCGCTGACATGAAAAATTTTGAAAAGAATAGTCGTTCACAAATTATTTAGATGGTCAGCATTGCACAGTGAGCTCCAAACCCAATTATAAGCATGTGGAAAAAGTTGGTAAAATTAGTGCGAGCCCCTGCAAAGCAGAGGTAACTTGCTGGTGATTTACATTTGGTAACTAACCACATCATTTCATTTCGGCCTTTAGATGTGCACAGGACTTAAACGTTGTTTATATAGGGGCAAGTTGTATGTGGTTTCCGAAAAAAATCAAAAGGACATTTTTATGTAGGTTCTGAGGGAAGTGCAACATCTCAGAGGTGCATCGACATCAGATCCTTTATTGAACGCGTTCTAGACGTCTTTACCCATCTAAGCAAGTTAAGACGGGGCCACTACACACATGAGCAATTAAGGAGACATTTTGAGCAATTAAGGAGACATTGAGCATATCAATTTACGATCTCAGAAAGAAAATCTGTGAAATTAGCTCTTCCTTTCCATTGTGAATATTCAATGATTTCCACCCACTATAAATCGAGCTGAGTAATGCAGACATTTGAGAACGTTAATGCAATTGTTACTCTTTTTATTATCTTGTTAGAACCTCGCGATCATAAACCGCTAGGGAAGAAACGATAAAACTCTAAGACCTATTTTCATAACCAACATTGCAATAAGTCGCAAACATAATAGGTTGTCCCGAAACTTTTGTCAGTTTCGTTCATCGATCACCATGCCTAGGTACCATTTGATTCAGATTCTTATCCTCTTTCTTATAGCCAGGTTGGCCCTCTGACCCTCGCTGTCTTTGCGATTTTATCGCCATAGAGTTCCTAGCAGCTCAATAACGCCAATTTTTTTTGAATTTTGAAAATCATCATCCTATTATTTTCAAAAGCGCTGGTGAATATGTGTAGAGCAAACCTTTGGCTACATTATATCCATCTTGAATTATATGGTTTACGTTTATCAAGTCCGTGATAATTATTTATTTGGGAAAAATCGCGACTTTTTGATACGTTTAATAAGTGAGAGTACTGAAAATTTCAGAGAGATTCTTCAAAATCAAACTTGGTTACGTTGCACAAATAATGTTTGATAACAATCAAGTTCAGTTAGCAAGTATCTTGAAAGCTCTCATGATCTTGCTGCAGCCATCTGTTTCATGACTCCAAAAACCGAGGCCTCCAAAGAAATTATTCTTCAAAGCTAAAAGCAACAAATTGACGGGTTAAGAATTTCGACAATATCAATGCAGGATTTTGGTTCCAAAATTTATGCATAGAAAGCAAAGGATAAATGCATCGGATGCATATTGAAAACATTCAGGTCTTTATGTGCGTAATTTCACACTCGTTTGAAAAAACAGACAAAACTTTCGGGACACCCATATATACATAGAAACTTCTTATTGAAAACTCTGTTATATTAAACTCCTCAACTTTCAGTTACCTATGTGCGCTAAAATCTTGAGTGTAACCGTTTTACTCGTGAAAGCGCTATGCGTAGCAGGGCAGATAAAGTCTGCACTGGATGATCTCGAAGATGAACAACATGTAGAGGAACAACATGTTTGTGCCAAGGATAGCGACAAAGACGAGACTATGGCTGGCTTTCGAAATGCTTCTCCTGAAGCTGCTGCTGAGGTCGAAAGCTACCTTGGTTTACTGCTGGTAATGACTAGCAGGACCGCAGCATGGTTGATTCATTGAACTCTTACTCAGAATGACGACGACGTCATCAAAAGGTTTGAGATTAACTTCCTCTATCCAGAGTGGACGTCGATGTACGTAAATGTTGCCGAGGTAATTCTTTTTTCAACATGGTTTGGTAGAGATTCTTAATTTTGCTAATGCGAAA